TTTTTTTTTTTTTTTTTTTTTTGTGTCTTTTACCACTTTTTTTCAGCTCTCATCGAACCGATCTCTTTCAACGATACGTCAAAAGATCACAAATCGTATCTAGTCAAAGACATTAACCTCAAAAATTTAAAAAATTTCCCTCGTTTTCCGTAAATGGGGGAAATCTCCAAAAACATTACAAATTTAAAAATCGCTAATTTTTGACATTTTTTCAATTTTTTTTACTTAAAACTGCCATAACTTTTTTAAATATGACCAAATCAATATAATTTTTTTTATAGATACTTTATGTCTTTACCTATCATTTGGTATATTTTTTTATAAATCTGACCCTTTACCTGACCACAGGGGGGATTCAAAATGACAACTTTTTCTACTAAAATTTTGATAGTGTTACGGAAACTCTGACACTTATATATATATATATATCTTAAATTAAAGATAATGTTATATATTTTATTATGGAAAAAAAAAATTTCGGACTTTATTTTGTCTTCACGGTGAAAATAGTTACCAAATGTTATTTTTTTGTGAAAATTTTCGATTTTATATTTTACATTTTTCACTTTATAATGCTATAATTTATTGAAAATTGTATGGAACAATACAATTTTTTCATGAGAAATAATATTTATATCCCTCTTTCATTCGAAATACTTTATCTTAATCAGGATATAAATAAGGAATTAGTAGATCATGTAACTTTTGTAATAATCTACCATTTATTTTAAATTAGACACTATTTAATGATTTGCATAGAAGCGTTTTTTATGATAGTGATTTTAATCACTGTCAGGTATCATTATACTTGACCCAACTATGCCACGACACCACTGAGCCACGACCCCCCTGTACTGGGATATATTTTTCTATTAGTAGTGATTAATAATAAATATTGTTTAAACAGGCAACAACTTAAAAAACAAAAACCCAGCATAGGGGTGTCGCGGCACAGTGGTGACGTGGCATAGTTGGATCAAGTAAATGATATCTGACAGTGATTAAAATCACTATCAAAAATAAACGCTTCGATGCAAATCTTTAGATAGTGTTTAATTTTAAAAAAATTGGTGTTTTATTCCAAAAGCTACTTGATCTGCTGGTTCCTTATTAATATCCTGATTAAGATAAAGTATGTCGAATGAAAAAGGGTTTATTAAAAAATATTATTTTTCATAAAAAAATTGTGTGGATCCATAAACTTTTCAATAAGTTATAGCATTATAAAGTTAAATATAATATAAATAATAAAATCGAGAATTTTCACACGAAAAAAGCATT